TTTTGAGTAGGCTAGGAATCTGACTTGAAAGACTGATCATGTCACACTTCGGCAAACAGAGGCTCATGTCTTGGTATGTAATGTTTGCTTAGAAAAGTCCAGATTATGGAATGAGTGCTGAACAGACACAGCCCAAAGTATGTGGAGCAGCTTGTGCAATGCAGATTTCTATAATGATAAATAATTTTGTTAGCGGGCTCTAAATAGTAATCACCTAGAATCAGCTGGGAGCCCTCTGCCTTGCAAAATCGGGGCCCTGATTGTTACCGGAACAAGGTAGTTATTAACACCATAGCATTCTATTGTTTATAATGACAACCTAAAATTATATGAAAGTACTGTGTGATTTTTTTTTTGTTCAAACATTGATTTCTGAAGATCCAATATAGAGAGAGATGTTGAAAATACCAGAAAGCTACAACTGTCCGTGTGAAGTCCTTAAGTTTGTGAATGTCAGTTCATTAACACAAGATGTGCACTTCATTTTCTTTTTATTTTCAGTTTTTCTTTTAAATCAAACCAGTTCAATCCCCATGAAAAATTACTTTTGTCGAATACTATATCTGCTTTGCCCATCCCCTGTTTTGCAGAGTACCATTACAGCTTCATACCTGTGTTTGCTTCCTGATTTTTACAAACTTTGTTTTGCAGTCCATTGTTTCATCAATCCTTCTTTTCTGCTCCATTTTTCCTTGCTTTTCTTTTTCCCCTCCTTTTTCTTTTTGTTTTGGTTTGTTTTTTTTTTTTTATTTTATTTTAAATTTAAGTTGGAAAACACTCTGGATCGTCGAACATCTTTTGAGAAATTCTCACGCAATGTGGTAAGTTTGTTGCCTCGGAAGACTAGTAAACCTGATGGGACATCCTTCTCCCTTCCCCCTCACTGATCCCTACTTTCCCTTTTTGCTTTTCTAACCTGACAGTTAAAAGTCTATTGATCACAGTTTGTGAATTTTCCTAGGAATGACAGCTTTATAATCTGCTTTCATTACAACCCCTCCTCCCTAGTCCCTTTCCCACTGACCTCAATAGTCACACATGGAGGAATGGACCTTTGGGAGCCATGCTTTTTGCATTAGGAAGCATGAAATTATTCACACTTTTTTTTTTTCCCCCCAATTGTAGTAAAGAATCTGTGAAAACCTGGTTGATGTTGTTCCTTTTTCTGGTGCCTCCCAAAATACTAAGCCTAACACAGTTTGAATACATCGGATTTCCTTCCTGCCTCCTTCTTATTTTACTACAAAAGAGTTTGTCCCATTTTTTTTCAATTGGGCACAGGGGAAAATAAACAATCATAATTTCCCTATCTTCCTTAATGTCTAGCAGAGCTTCTTCAGGACCAAAGAATTCATGCTGGTGATGTGCAAGGGTTTGATTGGGATTTCATTTTGATAATGGACTACAAGAGCTGATTATTTTTTTTTTAATATATAATTTTCAAAAGCTGTTTCATGAAGGTAAAAAAATGAAGGCTGGTAAATTTGCTGTGGGCATTCTCTTGCCACCTGCCAAAAGATCCACTGATTTCCTGATATGTGGGTTTCTTTTTACTTACCGGTTTCTTTGGATTTTTTTTTAACATTGTGAAAGTTCAAACTAAAGCATTCAACGCATTTATTTTTGTAGGGCAGAAACATCCCTATTTTCCCATGCCATAAAAACTGTACACCAACACTGAGGGCGAGCACTAACCTGTTATGAAAAGAGGTAGAAAGATCTTGGTTATACTCAAGTTTGTCTGCATTGTCTGTTGAATTGTGCAGGTGACGCTGCTGTGTGTGCGTGTGCGTCTGTGGCTTTTTCTGTGACCTGGTTAGTGGAGCTGTGTGCGTTGAAATGAAAAATATGAGAGCTTTCAGCAAAGATCATGGTTTTTGTTTTTTAGTTTCTAGGGAACGAGAAGCGGTTCTCATAAACTGCCTCCATATAATGAGGCTGAAGAGTATATCCTCAAGTGCTTAAAATATATACATATGCTTTCTAGTAATCAAAAAAAGAAAGAAACGCAGTGAAAGAACAAAGTTTTGTGAGGCTGTGGGAATATCTCCCATGTTAAAACAAAACTGTAATTCTTTAACTACTTTCTTATAGGTAAAGGCTTCCTGTAATATGCTTTGAATCCACTGTAATCAGGAAGAAATTTGGATTCAATGGGACAAAGTCAGTAAAGGACACTAAAAAGTAAATAAACAGCCACAAAGGAAACTCTCCCAGTGTTTGAAACAAAAACCCCTATATTTTGCATGGTGGTGTTGCCATAGCATGTTGCAGTGTGATTTGTGTGCTGTCTAAGCAGGTTGATCTATAAAACAATGTTGTACATGATAACATTATACATTATAATTACATGGAGGTGTTTAATATGAAGTTCCATGTTAATAAACAAGCCTGTGTTAAAAGTGCAGTGTAGAAAGTAAGTAGTATATCCGGGACCTCTGAGAGCCAGGCTTTTTCCCAGTCACAGTGCCTGGCAAGCTGCAATGACTATGTTTATTCGGGGGAATTTAAACAGCCCACAGATCAGGAATTGGTTATGGTAAAGAGTATGTAAACAGCTGGCTATAAGGAGAGAAATAGCAAGCTGCAGACAGATGTGAGGAGAATACAGCACAAAAAGGGAAAAAGGGAAGACAGACTGGGAAGCACTAAGACAACTCTCCGATAATCCCTCTCAAACCAGCAGTTCTGTGTGCAAACACTGGAGCATTATGCCCTGCAGGCATGCCCGATTTTCCTCGTGCTAATCTCAGGGCAGGCGTACCAGAATAGCAGGATGCCAGAGGTGCAAGGCAGGCCAAATAAACCAGCTGTAAGCTAGAAATGGGAAGAAGGATTTCTAGATGTGAAGTGTTAGTACTTTTTCAGTAGAAGATGATGATTCTTTTTTTCACGGAGCAAGCTATAAAATAAAAACTGTGGTTTTGCTTTTCCTCAAACTACTACCTGTGAATCTGGGTGGAGTCTGTCAAGTCAGGTCAGGTATGAAAGTAAAACACGTCAGTGTTAGATCTGTTGGATCGGCAGCTCTGAGGCTTGCAAATTAATGCAGAACGTTAGGATGCTCAAGTGCAAACCTTTGCTCTGAGATGACTGAATTCACATCGCCCACTGCCCTGGGACCCTTTGCCCCCAGGCATCCTTGTTCTTCCATTCTTGTTCTCGGTTATGATGAGTTTATAATACGTAGTTGTCTACCTTGGTACAGTGGTTCCAAACAGCAGGGGTGAGGGAAACGTTTCTCAGAATATCCTACGGTGTACTGATTAAGTGGTTCAACTGTGAAGTGGGGGACTGTAGTATAGATCTGTTCTTCTGATTAATACAGAAAATAGGTGTGAAACAGGTCTTCTACAACCTGGATAAATGCTATCATCTCTGAATGATTAAGTAAGAGGAAAATTATAGTTTCTCTTCCCCTCTGATGGTTTTGAAAATTTTGACTAATTTCACTTATATCAAATTCGGTGTGTATTGAACTAAATTAGACATCATTTTTTTCCACTGGAAGTGTTTTAAAAAACACAGTAACCTTGGTTGTGTCTAGGGACTGAACCTGAGAAGATGACCTTGTAATTCATAACCTGATTTGATAAGACAGACACTATAAAAGTCTTCTGATCAGTGATGATTGAAAGTGGGTTATACTTGCTACAGAAAGCATTTGTTAAATTAGAAAGTTTAGAAACTTTGTAAGGGCAATCTCTTTCTACTATTCCTTGAATTAAGTGGAAATAACCTAATATAATGAGTCGTTATTCTAGTCCAATGAGGGAAAAATAAAAGTGGAGCTATATACGCTAAAAAAAAACCACCCTAGGCTCAGCTCTGCATTTCTTTGACATTGGAGACTTTTCTTTCTAGAAAACTTTCAATAAGTTGGTGCACTTTGTGAAAGCCCTACATGTTCAGCTTAAAAACTGGCTATTTAGCTTGCTCTGTGGATTTTATAGTGCAAAATTGCTAATGCCTTTGGCAGCCCGCAACACACAATATGAATAGTGTTAGAAACAGGTCTGCATTCACATACAATCTAGATAAAGCAATAGCAAACTGGCATTTGCTGTATGTAGTGTTTATTACCAAACACTTTATAGTTTGACTCTGAGTAGTAAGCACAGCCATTCTTGTTTTGCCTCACTTATTCACGCTCCCAGGTATTGTGTGAAAATATAGAGCACATACACTTCAGCACTACTGGAATGATGCCACTGGATAAGTGCATTGCCTTGGAGTAACACCAGCAACCACAAGTGTCAGCTCTGACTCAGAGGCACGGGGAGCGGTGACAGTGTGTGCTCTGTGCTCCCCCCTGGCCAGCTCAGCCCCTCAGGTTTCTCTTTGGCAATAATTAAGTTCTGTCACCTGCAGCTCTCCAAGGAAGTGAGTAGGGAAGCTAAAGGCATAAGTCAGGAAGCAGGAGAATCTGTTTGCTTGCCACAGTAGTAAAGAGAGGGAAACCAGCTGTTTCTGTGGCATTTAAAAACTGAAATTCTTCTGAGGAATTTACATGGGGAAAAAAGTCCATATAAAAAAAAAAAAAAAAAAAAAAAAAGAAAAATCAGGAAACTGCCTCTATCTCAAGTACTAACATCTACATTACAGAGAATAAAACAGGTAAATATGCACTGATAACATTGATGTGAACAAAGAGGTCCTTTAAGGAAAACTGAAATGAAGAGATCTCTTTTACAGGGGAGTGGGCTAATTTCATTTCCACCCCATGCAAATTTTCTCGTCCCTACAGGAACCGGGTTAGCAGGGCAAGAAGGTGCAGTCTGCCTCCTCAGAGCTGCCTAGGGGGAGACACTCCGTCATCGTGTGTTGGTGTCACAGCTTCAGACACCACCGTCAGTGTTAGAGTTTCAACCGTTGCTGCCCAATTATAGAGAAGGCAAATAACTGTGCTTGTTGCAAGTTTGTGATGTTTTATGGAAATACAGCCAGTAAAAAACAGACCAAACTGAGTTAATATATTAAACTAGAGACCCATTAGATGATAATTATCTTCACTTGTAACCTCATAAACAAGACCCCATTTAATAGCTCTGAGTTTAAAATCATTACACCTTACATTACCCGTACTCTTTCCAGCTGTCTTCTCTCACTTAGCTGGAAGAACTTGCTTACCAGTGTCCTTCGATACTTTCCCCCTCCAAACCAATAACATTAGACCATTTCATGAATGAGATGTGAAATGTGAAGGCCATTGAACACAGCACATTTTCACAGAGGCTCAGTCCAATGTCACTTAACATGACATAGCAAATTATGGTTTAGAGATGGAAATTAAAACTCATAAAAATAGCTTCCTCAGTTCTTATCAGTGGGGGATAGACTTTCTAGATGCTTAAATCAGTGTAATCTCTTGTCATGTTAAAATCTGCCCCTGTACTGAGAAACAAGGCAGATAATATATCAATTTCATCTGGTAATCCAGAATTTTTTCGGTATGAACAGGTAGAGCTTATGTACACAAGGCCCTACTGTGCCAGACCAAAAGTCTATCTAGCCCTGAAATCCTGCCAAGGGCTATATTTTTCTTGAGTACAGCATTGTGAATGAGCTTCAATACGGTATCAGCTGTGGGATCTCATCTTCAATGTACAGTCATGGAAGAAATCCTAATTAGACCTTTAAATTTACTTACAGGTTATTCCTAAAATTTAAACCAAAACATAGCCAGTCAGAAAAAAAATCACAAAGCTTCTTATTTGACAAATACAAAGCAATAGTAAAAATAGTATGTATTTGTAGAAATGAAGGCTTTTTCCATTTCAGGAAAGAGAAGGCTTATTGATGTTTGAATAAAAAGAACTGATGAAATAATTGAAAATTTTAGTTTGGACTAATAATTAGTCCAAAAATCCAGTTGAAGGATTTTGTTAGGAATGATGTGCAAGCTAATGAAGAAAATCAAAAAGAGCATCTGTAGGACACGCCAGTGAGGACTGGCCTCCTGGTCCTGTTCTGCAGTGAGTGGAGCTAAGCTGCGGCGCTCTGTGCTGGAAGAGAAGGGCTGAGAAGTGACACGTGCACAGCCAGGTCCATCTAAGCGAGGAGCCAGCGCGTACTGCTCAGGTATTAGGCCAGTGTCTGCCATTTCCCAGCTGACAAACATTTACCTGAGTCTTAAGCTAGTTGCAGAAATGAGAACTGCAGAGAGGTATAGAAACCTGAGGGTTCAGGCCTAGGGCAAACATACTAAAACTATTTGTCTAGGGCATCAGTGCCTTGGAAAATCTTACGTGTTACCCCACGCTTAGATGGTTATTCAAGTTTAAACTGCCCCATCTGCCAAGAGTTTGTAGGTTAATGACAAATGAAAGCAGCTCATCAGTAAATGTAAAGATTAGTTTGGAACGAGCAAAAATAGGAATGCAGTTACTGAGCCGCTGCCTCCTGCCTATGGACCGCTTCAGGAAACGGCACGGCCCTAATGAGAAATGAACAGAGAACCGCAAATCCCCACAATAGGCAGAGGGATTTTCCTGAACGTGCAACCACTTAGCACTGCAGCTGTGCTGCCAACTCATGCCCCAAATTCAGTAAATACTAACCTCCTCCCCTTCCTCACATGGCTGAAAGAGAAACACACCTGCACGGGTGACTGAGAGCAGCATCCCGTGCTGCTGTGGAAAACGAAGCAGAATCCTGACCCCCTGAGTGGTGCTAAAGCAATTTCCCTGTGCCAGAGGAGCAAAAGCTGCCCAATCTTGGAAAGGAACTTACTGTTTCTGCTCCTGTGCCTCTCCAGATGTGCTTCTGTCAGAGGCTGATTATACACCGGCTCTGTGTGTGGCACACTGCGATGTCACTTGGGGGCTTTCCGTGCCGATGCTGGCCGAGCTGCCGGCATGGTGCAGGTGTGTCACACATGAGCAGATGGGGAATGGTGAGAGCAAGGAGGGTCGATTCTCGCTCTGCATCTCATTTTGCTCACAGTGGGGTTTGCACTGTTTCTCTGTGACACCCGGTCAGATGCGTGGAATTCTCATTTCTAGTTCTACCAGTATCGGTCCTGGGGAGTAGCATCTGCGCTGGCAATAAAGAAATATGAAAAAGGAACCATTGAGGTTGCTTAGCAGAAAGGGAGACAGTTCGTCTTCTAAAAGGAAAAGACTTGATCTTCCTCTACCATACATTTCAGCTCCAGCCCCTATATAAATTTCATATTGATTTCTTACAAGCCACATATGTACTGAGGTTGTTGCTGACTTGTTTGCCAGATAACTTGAGGAGTTAGTGTCATGCTGCATAAATAGGTCAGTCAGCACGTTTGTGTTTAGCAGCTCATAAATCTGCACATGGTTTTGAAATTTTTCCCCTAAATTCTCTAAAAGTACAGCTGGAAAGATATCTCTGTGTTAAAAAGTTAATACACTAAGGTAGGGACAGGAACACTGTGGCCAGTTGATTTTGATGTACTTGCTTACTCCAGCTGCTGTGCTGCCTCCTCATACTCCGACTCCTGTGTCAGGGTATGCGTGGGGATTTCATTTTGGCTTCTGTATTTTAACAAGTAAAATTGTTAAATAGTTTCAATTCATATGTCCAAAATGCACCAATACAGCCAAAAATCCTAATCCTGTTTCGAATTTGGCCATATACTTCCAAATGTTGATGGCAAGATTATATTGCAAATATTAAGGGTCTCCTTTTCATTCTTCAGACAAATATCTACTACTTCTTCCAACCTTTTTTCCAATTGTTCTTTAATCTCATTAGTAAAGGAAACATTTTCCTATGTGTGATGGCTCATATGCTACATCCCTCAAAACTGGCCTGTTAGATGTAGTTTCCCAAATCAAAATTTGCCTTATAGGAATGCTATTAAAGTCATATCTGGAAGAAATAGCTGAGCTCAGCTCTTAAATTATGACCCACAAAGGATGATCCTTACATCAGTCTGTAAATTGAGTGACTGTGGAAATCTCCTAGAAGTGATAATTACGATACCCTACTGTGCAGAGCTAAAGTAAAAGTATACTCTGGAACAAAGACTGAAAGAAATATTCTGTAAACTGGAAGATCTGAATAAGAAGGTGGGATAATTCTGTGTTTGGGGCTGGTCTGGATTCTGTGTATTAAAAGCTTCTTTTCCCAATCAGAAACATGGAATAAACATGGAAGAAGATCTCTTAAGGAGGGTGTATATTCTAAGTTGTCACTTTTCCAGTTATAAGATAAATTAGAACTACTAATACCTGGAAAAAGAGCATCCATTGTTGTTGTTATTATTCAGCTGGAAACTTCATATCTTTAAGAAGTGTAATATTCTCTGAGGCAGAGAGGGGAGGGGGAAGAGAGGACCATCCAGACAAATCCTGATCACTGTAGGGCTTAAGAGAAAATGCATCCAAAGACCAGCAATATCCAAGGAGCAAGTGATGTAGAATACAGAAAAAAAAAGTGGCATGACAGCTCACTGTGTCTATAGGGGAAAATTCAAATAATATGTAGAATAAGATTAAACAAGTCAGATCAACTAACTAACGACTAGGTTTTGGCCTGCTTTTAGGTCAAAACTCCCTAGTTTATGAGATAGCACAATTAATTCCTGAGATGCTAGAATTTGGTTATGGTCATCTATGTAAATTCCGGGGCATTTACAACTCCTAAATAACCAATTGTTACAGATAAGAATAAAAAAATATTTCACAGATCTTATCGCTGAACAAGAGCTTGTGTGGCTTTCTAGTGTGGTATTGAGCAAATTATTTCAATAACTAATAGAAAGCTCCTGGTTTAACTGTTTTAATTAACTGGTTTATGCAGTTCAGTACTAAAGAGAACTCATACACGTTTACACAAAATAGCCAGGCCTGTAGACCTGTGAAATTAAGCACAAACAACTTCATCAAAGGCAAAGATAAGCATATGCTCAATATTTTCCTAGATTATATATCCAAGGCCGACAATCATGAATAGCCTAAAAAACCACTTCATTTCAGACATGCTGTTTTAAACTATTCCAGTGCCACACAGTTGTTTTTTGCTTATTTAAAAAGAAAAGATGTCTTAGTATACTAGCCTACCTGTTACATTAGAGGAAAACATGATTTAAGGCTCAACAAGTGTCAAGAAGCTGTGGATTTAATGTAGGCAGAAAGTGAGAGAGTTAAAGCTAGACACAGGGAAGAGAGCATGCCAGGAAGGGCGCTTTCCATCTTTTGAAGAAGTTAGTATTAATACTGTCAGGTGATACGGTGATCCTGCTGGATGAGCAGTCTAACCCCGCACTGCAGATCATGAGTTCCCTTCAAAATTATACTGTAGGGGAAATATTCATCCTGATTTGTTCAACTTGTATTTCAGAGCTCAAAGAATAAAATAGTTATTCTTCCTTTTGTGAAGACCCACTCTGATACACTGCATTTGAGCAAATGCTTGAAACCAACTTGCAGATCTCTGTGAGCATAAATGTAATTGTTAGTCATAGAATCATAGAATGGTGTAGGTTGGAAAGGGCCTTGAAGATCATCGAGTTACACCCCCCCTGCCATAGACAGGGAACTGACAATATTGACAATAGATACTAAATTGTGTAATCCCACTAAGTTATAATACAGCAGATGACTTAACAACTCATAGATATGGCAGAGTAAGTTCATTTACCCTTTACTGCAGAAGACGTAGCATCTCTCCATAGTTACAGTATTTCTTGCTGTAGTCTCCTTGAAATCAGTTTGATTTTTCCAAGTTGTGCACTTAAAATGAACAATACAATAACTGTAAGTATTAAATATCTAACTGGAGAGTTAGACAGAGCCACTTGCTATTTAATGTTTTATGATCTATTTATGTTACATTATCAGGGTATGCCTGTGGTATTTTGAGGAGCGCTGTAAGCTTGCTGTGCCAGCTCTGCCTCTCTTGGATCAGAGCCATGGTAGGATGGCCCTAGGAGAGCTAACTCCTTTTATGTGGCCTCAGGAGAGCTAATTCCTATTATGTGGTTTCATGGCTTTTGTCTGGCTCAGATAAAGCTCAAAGCTGCCTGAAATATACCGTGGTGACATACCCTACACCATCCTCTTCACGCTATAGACATAACTATTGTGGGACAGTTATTATACCTTATTAAAAGAATTTGCTAAAAAACTGTAACTTCATCCTTGCGACAGGAGGAACGATGAGGAAAATAACAATGTGGAAATCCAAACACCTTCAAAGCAGCGCTATGCAGTCCCGTGTAATATACCTTACCGATGTTCCTTATAAATAGTAAATACGGTCTCAGCAAACCAATAGCTGCGCTCATGGAAAAGCTGCTTTCCTGCCTATATGCAATCTGCCTCTTTCTTACCCAAACTTTAAAGTAGCTTTTTGTCCTCTGTGACAGAGCTACCGTAGTTTGCGCGCTCATCTTTGCAGCACAAGGCACTCTCGCTTGCAGTAGCCTTCCTCAAGTTCTGGGTGTCACTGACAGCAAAAACCTCAGCATTAGTTTCTCCTCAGCCGAAACCAACCTCATTCGAAACCAACCTCATTCGAAAATGGCCTTTAAATTTGCTGGCACGTTCAGTGGAACGATCCAGCTGGCTGGCAGTGCAGGTGTTTGAGCGTAAGGGCTTCCTGTAGTTTAAGATTTGACAGACTCCAGTTGGTGCCCCTAGTTATTTGACAGTGATGTGGCAACACTAAGTGGTTGCTGATGAACAGGTTTGCAGTGATCATGCCTCTGTTTTCTGTTTTTGTTTTTTGTTTTTATCTTTTCCTCAGGGGAAATCGCTCACATCAAAGAGGTTAACCAGTCTAGTGCAGTCCTACTAAAAGGATCACCTTGTAGCATGGAAGCAGACTCAAATCATTATACATACTTTGTAGCTCACTGATTGCCTGACTCAGAGGACAGTAGAACAAGATGTTGCATGAGCGAGGACCTGACTTGTTTTCTTTTGTGTATACTAAGGCATTACAGACTCCGAGGGACTCTCTAGCCTTTCGATGCCTCCATTTCGAAAACTGTCTGCTCACTTCCTCCTTCATATCAAGCTGGATCTATGTCTTTTTATTTTCTGCAAGCTCAAGTACAGTGAAAAAAAAGCTTCTGCTAGGCACAGTTTATTAAAAAAAAATACGTCAATCAAAACCTGGAAGAAATGTAAAAAAATGCATATATTAATAAATATACATATGGCATCACATTTATTGCACAATAAATTAGCACAGAAGGTTTCATTTCACTGATGTATTCACATTGAGAAAGAAAGCCTGTGTCTTTGTCTGTTGTCTGTATATTCTCTGTTAATGTTTCTTGCATTTATTTTTATACCATATTTAAAAAAGAACACCTTTTACTCCAGATGTATTAAAGTTGATCCTTTCTCTGTAAATTTGTGTATGTTTATATTGTTGTTTTATCTTTCATTAAAAGATGCAGAATCTCTTTCCTTTGGGAAGTTTGAGATTTTAATATTGAATCTGAAGATTAGCCAAGAGCAAAATCATCCCCAAAAGTTACACACCTTGCGCTTTCTAAAAAGTGACATGAAATGGCATTTTCTTTCTCTCAGTGACACCTAATCAAGCACACCTTATTGATAATCATTTACTTTTTATTTTCTTTTTGTCAAGCTAGCGGCAGAGAGACCTTTCCAGCTTGCTCATCATCACATAAGCAAACCTTTCTTTAAGCTAGACCTGTAATAGCGCAGCCCGCACAGCGATTCAGTCGCTACCCAAGACCGGAATGGCTGAACTGCATTTCCTTAGGAACGGGAGGGAACAAAGCTGGCGGAGAGCACAAGTGTCTACTTGCTAAACAGGGAGGACAGTGGGTTTTTTTGTCTCCTTGCTGTCACTTGTGATGACACTGCAATGTGTGAAGCTGAAAAGGTAGTGGTTTGGGAGTGCTTAGTATACTGCCTGCAGAGCAAACCTTGGGTAGTAACGCAGGAGGCTGTCCTTTAATTCAAGGGCTCTATTCAGGTGTACTGTTGTTTGTCTGCTGCCGAGGTTACTCGCACAGAGACCTATTGACAGATTGATGAGAGCATGTAGCCGTTGCCTGTGAGACAGCAGATATGGCGCTTCTGAAGCTAAACTGAGCTGGAACCAGAAATCTCTGCTTGGCCTAAGAAACAGCACTTTTGACTGAGAGAGATGACGTGAGGATAGCAGGCAGAATCTCCGAGTGGAAAAGCGATGGTGGGAACTAAGTCAAACGACAAAATGCTGATACCTCCAGGGCATCGCAGGGTGCGTAGGACAAACAAGCCTTTTTAGCGGTGCACAGGACAGACTCAGGACAGCCAACGCCAGTACCATCTGTCAGACCGCCTTTGGTTTGATATTGAGAAACAGGAATCTAGTTTCAAAGGGATTACCAAAGCTAAAACTGCACACACACACACAAAAAGTGGGACAGTCATAGACACGATCAGGCAATAAATTTGAATACATTAATGCTACAGGCATCTCATTTAACATGGGATACCTACCTGAGTTGCTGCCGCCCGGGACAGGGCTCCTGCCCAGAGCAGCTGTGGGCAGAAGGGAGCTGAGCCGCCTTCCGCAGGGAGCGCTCCCATCTCCTCTGGCTCTGTCGGGAGCCTGCTGCACCCGTAGCCCTGACTGCAGCACCTCTGAAGAGGTAGTCTGAATGAATCCGTGACCAAACCAGTTATAAATCACCGTGAACGGCAGTTCCCCAGGGTTTTGCTCGGTTGGGGTTTCTGGATGGTTGGGATTTTTGTTTGTTCTTTATTTTCACATGCCACTGTTTCTGGTTTCTAGCTTGGGTGATAATCACTGCTTTAAAGTGTCTCAGTTTTTGTTAGCACAATTCTACTAAGCTTTTACCAGAAAACACTGGAAATGCCCCATGAGAGCTTGATTTTATCAAGAACTCCATCTAGGTCAACTCAAAATATTCACAGTCTAGGGAGGCCAGATGAATTTTAATAAATAGCCGCATTGAACCCCGGATCTTAAACTCTGAGATTTAATTTTCCTTTACCACAGAAATGTGAGCTCTGAGGCATGAACTTGGGGCCAAGGGATCCACAGAAATTTGAGCTTTGTTTCACTTCTCAGTGCCAAATAGAGATATTTATTTCCAAACTCCTGCTGCCACCAATTGCATCAGCTGGTATATTGCCTGCTTTGCCTTAGGAGTTAACTAATTAGATACCAGTGTCTGCTTTGAAGAATCACTCCCTTCTAATAACTAATGTTTCAAATTTATGCATTAGGTATTTCATGCAACTTTACCCAAAGGCTTATTTTATTTTATTTTTTTCAAAATTACTTTGGAACACCAACTGGCTGATAAAAAGATGTGGAGCATTTGTATTCCTGAACCCATTTTGTACTTATTCGAGTTCTTTTCTTTCAATAAATATGAAGTCTCTATTGAATGGATGTCTTTTCCTGTATTTGCACAGGATTTAACACAGGGACTGTAAAGTAAAAATATGCATTGTTAATAAGGATTTCAAAGTAGTAAGGGAGCTGTATCAAGGTTTCATCTGAGTGTAGTTTCAAGGGATACAACTCCACAATTACACAAGTGATTTTGGCCCAAACAGACCAAATAAAATCTGTTCTACAACCAGCTGATTTTTAAAGGGTTTGTCAGCGATCTTTTGATACTTCAGCTGCTCATTGTCATCCCAGTACTGGGAATGGAAACTCCAAGTAGTTTTACTTCCTTTTACTTCCCCACAGAGAAAATATAAATGTTTGTTTCCATATTTATATGAAGATCCACTTCCAAGAATTAAGATTAACTCAGATTAAGGCACGTTTTTACAACCACCAAACAGCTGAAGTATGATTTTGGTTACACAATGATATATCTATTAGGAATTTCAGTGAGGCCACGAGTCTGCTGAGGAAAAAAGGACCGAGAGAGAAACCCAGTCTGAATGGACTACATTTCTGGTCTCCTGGGGAAGAGCCATCACTCAGTGCCTCCTGGCTCTGCTCAGGAGGCTGGAAACACCCTCCGTTATGGGTTATTAATTCTAAAATTCATTAAAATAACCACTTGGAGCTGGGAACTTCAGTCTGAGAATTGGGATTCATCAGACAGTTCCTTTCCTTATGCATCCTCGTGTATAAAACAGCTCTTAAGACTGCAGGAGAAAGAAAGTTCGCTGGTGCTGCTGCACCCTTGAGACAGTTTTGTGCTCCCAGACCAGCCTGGGCAGGAAAATGGGCAGTGGGAGAGACAGAGTCTTCCCTGGCACCTACCTGAGAACAGCAAAACATTCGCCCCTTCTTCCATAAGGTGCAATTAAAAATTGTCCTTCGACCCTACAAAACTGAAGCAGGAGGAAAAAGGCCGTAAACAGTGATGAGGGAAATTGCAAAATGCTGAGCTGAAACAGTAGTGGAGGCTGGCCAAAAATTAATGAGCTGAAGGTGAATACAGGAGTAAGAAATGGGTATTAATTGTGGTGACCAGGACAGAAGGGGCAAGGGAGGAGAACCAGGGAACTAAGTAATTAGGAGCAAGAGAGGCTGAATGCAGCTGGTGGATTGCCAGCCTGTTGGCCACAGCCACGCAGAGTTGGAATCAAACCCCCCAAAATCAGACAAGACCAACTGTGGCTGGCCATTTAGAACCCAACAACCAGATTTCTTCAGCTAGAAAACAATTAATACCAAATATAGAGAATTGCCTTTTTCAAATTACACCCCTAAAATTGTTTGAAATCGTGAGGCGTAAGTGCCAAATATTCATCCAAGAAATTAGAAATAGTCATCCAAGAAATAAGAAGTAGGAAGGCAAAAACCAATTCCAGAAAATGAGAGCTATAGGAATGCATTTAGGATGTTTGTTTATATTTTTTTTTGAAAATGAATAAAAGCCAAAGCAGAAAATTAAAGTGAGAGAAGGCTGCTTTCATTAAGTAACTGGAATAAGGAGTTGGGAATCACCAGTGATTTGTTTGTGGCTCTTCCATTTATTTATCTTTATGCCAACTGATTAGTGGCTGTTTGAATTTAGATTTTAAAACCATCATATTTTAAATTTTCTGTCTAGCTGGAGATGTTGTGCATAGAACTAAAACTACAGGACTTATTAAGCGTGTAAAACATAGGAATCTTGCTAAAAGAACGTTAATAGCCATAGTGACCAATATAAAATAAGGCTTTAGTCCCAAGATGTTCAAGGTAAATTAGCAACAATTTCTTTAAACATATTCTGTGTCCACAATTCATTTAAGCAAGTTACTAAGTGGCCATGAGTCAGATCAATCTGCCTTTTGATCTGACTGTGCCGAACACATTAATGCTTTTGTCTGCTGTGAGTTGAAGACCGGCTGAAGTCCCAATACCAAAGAGGCAGAGGGGAAGAGAGGGTGACCTCTCTGAGGCTGGGCTCCCCTTACTCGTGCTGCTCCGGACTGTGGGGTCCTCAAGTGACATGTGTACAAATAAATGGGTTTTGTTTGTACAGACATCGGCTTGAGGACTGCAAAGTCTCTCCAGACAGTCATTATCTCTGCCACTATATTTTTTTTTCTTAATATCTAAACTAAATCTTCTTTGCTTCAATTTATCCCTTTATTTTTTTAATAGGCTGCTACAATCACTGTAATGAAATGTTCCCTACCTTTTTGCTCAAATAAGGAGATGGCCACTGCAACGTTACAGCCTCCTTTGGTTTTTTTTACTGGCCTTTTCTGAAGTGTGGAGTGACTTCATGGCTCTCCATCGGGTTGGGGGTGTTACAGCTTGCTTTGGGGAGAGTGCCCAGGGCAGGCCGCGGGGCTCCCACCCAGCTCTCATGGGAGGAGGGCAGAGGATTACTGTTGTACTTCTGTCTGTACACACAGCTCCGGGCCTTGCCCTGGTTTTTGCAGCAGATGGCCGCTGCCGAATTGTGCCAGCTTACGTTGCCCGGTGATGCCCAGATCCTTTGCAGGAAAGCGTAGCTGGTTGTTCCCATTTGTGTGTAGCCGACTCTACTTGGGTCAGTGAGGTGTCTTCAGCTGTCCATTGAGTAGCATCTTCGTTTTGCAGACCATCTTTCTCTTTTACCAAGGTCACTTTTCTTTTTTTGATTCTAACCTGTGAAATACTCGTAGTCCTTTTACTTGCGGGTATTTTTATGTGTGGGTGAGAGTGCGGAATCTGCTGGCCTGATTCTTTAATGCAGATGCATGAATGAGAGTGAGTACCATCATCGCTGTTTGCCAGAAGGGATCTGGATGTGTAAATTGTTAAGAGAAATTGCCGTGACAATAAACTGAGAATCTGCTCAAATGCTAGATGATAGTCCTTATTTGTAAGTGCAGACACGGACAGTAAATATCAAACAATATTAAGACACGATTGTAAATGTTACCTTGTTAGTGGCATTTGCACAATTTTTATTGTACTTTTCCTTCACTCCCAAAATATGATCTGCCGCATTCACCGTCGTCGTCTTTT